GAAGTAGAGTCATTTTCTCATAGACTTCTATACAACCAGAGTCACTCGGCAGAACCTCTGCTAACGGTAGGCTGCAGAGACACCTGAACGCACCTTAACTGTGGCTGAAACACACCGACTCTACATGATACTTGATTATCTCAGTAAACATTGTAACCTTGATTTACCCAACTCACTAGTGTTCTGGAACACCCAACATCTATTTCACGATTTATCAAATTATTGCATGAGACCTACTAAAGCACCACATGATATATTTATTCTATCAATCAAACACAGCAACATAGACTCACATAACACACTGAAATGGATGAAACTGGTTCACAGAAGAACAACACGCTGCTGTTTACGCCTCAGTCTCGAACATCTTCTTCCTGCCGTCCATCCCGGCCCTGTCTTCGATGTTCTTCCTCCAGTCGCCCGTCGGCTTCTCCTGCAAAGAAACACGTCCAAAGAGAAGCGGACGGGTTCTATTAATGCTTTTATTTCATCCAAGTTTGATTTCAGAGATGAAACCACAGAAATCAGAGGATTCATTCACACCAAAAATAAATGTAATTGTCGAACGTGAAATTTGCACCCACCTCGTCTTTCACCTCCTTCTTGACCTGCTTCAGGTTGGCCCTCAGGTCCATGGACACTTTGTGTTTGGAGCCCAGCAGAGCGGCCAGCATGGCATCCGCCGACATCCGCACCCTCTTCAGGGCTGGCTTCTTAAACTTCCCCTTCAGATCCTGAACCTTGAGCTTCAGGTCGTCGATCTGACGGAGAAGACTTAGTTACTCAGACCAATCGGTCTGTTTCAAGGAGATATGGGCTAAACTTGTGTTTTATTGTGCTTTGTTTCTGTCACACGATGAAAAAAAAATACTATTTGATTATGAGACGATAATTGATACATGATTCAACGATCAAATGTAAAGGCCTACAGCCCTGATTGGTATGTAAAGCCTGTAGATTTGTTAAACCAGTCGGCTGACACTTTATACTGAAATAAAAATAATATTGGTTAAGAGGAGACAAATCCTCTGTCAGACTAAAGGAAAAAAAAAAAAAACTTCAAAAATACACATTTATGAGTTTATTTTACTACTTTGTCTGTTTGCGTCTGTAGATTTCTTCTAAATTCACCAACAGTTACCATTACATAATGCCTCATTTGCATATAAAAACATAACATTTCAGAAAACTTGTAATACAATAAATACTCCTCTTAGTGTGAGTGATGAAGTGGTGAAGTTTCATGGTGATATCTGTGAGTTCATGTTGTGACTCTATTCACCTGTAGAGTCTTCTTAATGTGAGTGATGAAGTGGTGAAGTTTCATGGTGATATCTATGAGTTCATGTTGTGACTCTATTCACCTGTAGAGTCTTCTTAATGTG